ACACACACACACACACACACACACACACACACACACACACACACACGCACAGTCTCCAACAGCAACTTCCTGTGCTCAGACAATTGGCCTGGTTCTTGGAGTGGAAGACATGTCACTGAGCACACAGCAATGGGTAACAAGGCCCTGTGGGACATTTAGGGGAGTTGTGTGTGTGTGTGTGTGCGTGTGTGTGTGTGTGTGGTGTTGGTATACCTGTCAGCGTGAGTAATACTCCTCACCAGCTTAGGAAGAGGATGTGAAACAGCTGTGCTCGCAGCCTGATCTGTTCCTGCTGCAGTCAAAGCCTCCATCACACACAACATGCTTCTGTACAGGGAACTTATTATGCAGTGGCACTGTAATGAAGTGAAAATTATTTCATTTGGGTGGGGGGAGGAAGGTGTCAGAGCTTAGGAGCTCCTCCTTTTCACACGCCACATGGCACCCACTCAGATGACAACATCTGGAGGCTTTCTGAGCTCACATGAGCACAGATGTAGGAGTTTGATGTCATAGGGGTGATGGAGGAAAGGACGGAGAACGTGTGTGTTGCATACATGAGTGCATGCAACTTGCCTTTATTGAATCATTTGCTTTTGTGAAACGATTCAGGACATTTTAGGGTTAAAATACATCATAATGCTTTTACTGTGATAATTTACTTAACTTTCCTGTTTTTTTTGTATTTACTTTGATCTGCACCTTTGTTCCATGTCAGTTTAACAATTAAGAAAAGACTTACCGGTGCTTTTTCACACCATTTTTTCCAACCTATCAAATATTTAACGTTTTTAGAATATTTTAAATGACTTAAAAAAATTCTCAATTTTTCAAGAGTATGTATTTACCTGCTGCACCACAACAGGGTTAGGAAAAATTACAGCACGAGTCAACAAATACAGTCATAACGTGACAAGAGCAGACTAGAACCCTGCATGTCATTCAGCAATCATGCTTAAACATAATGAATATATGACGTACGTATATATGCTTAAACCTAAGCAATTTATATAATTTTATTGAGGGTTATTCTGACTGGATCAAATTATTTTGGGGCTCATACCCCCCCCCCCCCACACACACACACACACACATGCAAATTACGTCCATGCTGGTGCTTACTTGCTCACTTTCATCAAATTCACCAAAAATTGGACTTGAGTTGGTGATGCATCTTCACTAGAATATTTTCAGTCATGTTCTAGAAAATGATACTTTCTACAATGCAAAGCACAACACTACTTTTTCTTACTGACATAGATGCAAAACCCAAAGTAAAATATAATCAGTGTCATGTTTGAATACAAATCCTTATCAGCCTAACTGCAAAACTTCACTTTCAACTATTCAAAGCAGTCAGCTCCAGATTGGGAAAAAAAAATTATTGATGTAGAGCACAATGCATCCTCTCTAATGAACATTGATCAAACAAGTGCTAATTAGCACAATCAGCCGAGCCAGATGTGTTACATTATGTAGAACCGATCAGCGATGCTGTGTTGATCTGAGCAGAAACAAGACAGTGGAAAGAGTAAAGTGTAAAAATATCAGGCTAAACTTTTACAGTAAATGTAAAATAACGTGGGCTTCAAGTTGTGAAAATTATAACAATCTCAAAATCTGGACATGATCAAGCACATTTAACTCTATTTGGTGTGCATTTTGGTCATGCATGAAACAAGAAGGCAAATTAGAGCCATCTTACAGATAAAAATTTAAAAGGAGAAGAAATTTTCCACCAAGAATACTTTAAGAAAAAAACAAGGAAATTCTTTGAGCTCAAAAAGTTGTAAATTTGCAAGAAACACTTCAAAATTTTTTTTTATTTATATAAAGGTGGAATCACCCTTTAGCCATTTTCCTGAATCGGAAAATGCAACTGAAAACCAACTCATCTTTGTGAAACCTTCAGTTTTGTTTCTGATAAAGTTTAAGCATTTTTTCTCGCAAATTTCTGACTTTACAATATCATAAAATGTTTAGTTTAAATATCAACATTATTTCTAACTTAATTATGAAAATTTTTGAGTTTTTTTCTCACGAATATACGACTTTTCTACATTAGAGAATCTCCTAATTTTTCTTAAAAATCTTCTAAATCAATCTAAAAAAAAACACTAGTTTTTTGGTGGACTTTTACACCTCCTTTTTTAAATCTCAAAATGGCCCGAATATACCATCATAAACATGAAAGAAAAGTGCAAGGTTGAAGAAAATTGTCAATTTTTATTTGAAAATCTAAAACTACAGTAAAAACAATCTATTTATAAGCTAACTAGCTTTCAGACAAATATGCTTAAATCTCGGCATAAAAATAACAAAAGATTTCTACTGCAGAATCTAACTTTGTAACAAACAAAATAAAATAGCTAGCTCCTGGACAAGTTAGCTAGTTAGCGTGACTCCAGATGACATGAGTTGTGGACTCTTGCTTTGTATCTGAAATAAATTAGATTAAAATTAAATTTGTTAAAATAATCTCTGGTTTCTTGCTGTTTATATTTGTGCTAAGCTAAGTAGCTTGAAGACACCTGGCATGTTGTCTATTCGTGATTTTCCATGTGTTGCTCCCTTCATTTTATTGCTGCTGCTTTGATCACAGAAAAATAGGTAAGTGGCCACATTATGAGCACAAAACTCCAAAGAGGAGGAGGAAAAATAAATGTTTCTCTGCTTCAAAGCACACTGAAGGAAGATGGATTCTGTTTTCTTTGAGATAACAAATGTGGCAGTTTTCCTGCGTAAACATGCACATCAGCACAGCCGTGTGTTAACAGAAATATATTCAGAAGGAGCGTGATCCCGTAAAGCGACACATGCAGCTCGTACATTAATAATGAAGCCTTTTCTTGTGTGGATGTTGAAGCGCCTGTGAGGTCTCTAAGGCCGAGCAACAATCAAGATATGGAGTTTCTCGCTGCACTGTGACCCCCTCCTGGTATTTGGCTTCTTCAAACGAGGCTGATTCAGCCTCCGAGGGGAATACGGAGAATTATTGATTGTTTTCCCAAGGTTTTACAGGAGACGGGAAGAGTTATGGCAGTCGAGGCGGCCCTCTGCCAAGAAAACAGATCTGGGCATCGTCAGCAATCCCTGCCGTCGCTCCATAAACAAAGCGAGCTGGGTGTCTTTTTTTAATTTTATTTTAAAGCAAGGGGGAAAAAAAAGCACTCTCCAAACACAACAAACACTGAGAAATAATACCATAAATGTGGTTTTATTATTAATAACAGTATCTCTTTTAATGAACATTGCAGATACATAATAGAAAATAAATCAGAAAACAGAGACGTCTGTCTCAAAGAGTCGTGAAAGTGCCTGGAATAAATCTGTGCTATATGTTGTCATTAATATTTATCACCACCTTTCTAATCAAAACCACATTGTCAGAAATGTTTATCATTAAAACAAAAGTGTTATCAACCCTTTTGCCTTCACACGGCTTCCCAAAGCAGATCTCTGTTTTCAAACCTCCAGTCAGGATTAGTGTTGGTTTTTTTTTTTTTTTTTTGTGAATATGGCTCGATTGTCTTCATCTTAGTTATGACACTGTTTAGATTTTATTTACACGTTTGCCATATTCGAGAGCACGGCTGATTCCTTCTGTTCAGACACGATGCTCTTGAGCAGAATCGATCCTTTTTCTTTGCCTCCGAGAGGGGTGGGGGTGGGGGGATCAAAGTTTGACTTAAACTGGAAAGTCTGTAATGCAAATGTGACAGCTCACACTTTTAAAACATAAACAATCATTAAAGAAAATGAAATGATTCAGGCTTCTAACAGAACACAAAAGGCAAAACGTGATGAGTTCAAGCAGCAAGAAATCAACACCATTTTTCATYTATTGTTCACAAGTTCTTCACTTTGCATATTCGATGGCACGAACGGAAACATTTCAGACGCTGCGTGTATTTTAGTATGAAGTTAGTCTTTTTAAATAAATTAAAAAAGATATGGCACAACTGCTGGAGGAGTAACAATCGGCTCGCCATCTTTGATCTGAAGAGACGTGTGAAAATAGCTCTTTACAAGATGAAACTGATCTCAATGAGGTTTTTTTTTTCTGGATGGGAGTTGTTGACCTCACCTTGCTTTGGTTTGGGGAAGAAAAAAAGTTTTTTAAACTTTTTAAAAAATTAAAAACTACTGTCATCCATCATTCACTGGAGGAACCAAATATCAGACATGACTTCCTTTTATTTGTCTTCAGTCTCACTGTTGGCCGTTTGCGGGACAACCAAGCACAAGTGCACCTTGGCACTTTCAAGATTTAATTGGTCACAGCTAATGTCTTGTGTCACAGACGTACATCACCAGTGGGTAATGCAACACTTCAGATGTTTTGTAGTGGGGTTTCTGTGGAAATGTTTGAACAATGGATACCCATCTGTTGCAGATAGCTCTTTGAAGAACTTTGTTTCGGACAAACTGTTTACTTTTGTCAAAACTGAAAAGCGAACGGCTAGTCAGAGCTGGGCCCAGATCAAGGTGAATTGCTCAATCATAAAGCAACTCCAGTCTCAAACCTTTCACAAATAGTTCATGCAAATATTGCTCTATTCATGGTTATCCCAGACAGAAATACAATATTTTTGAAGGAAGGTATCCGGTAACCGGATGCAGCATAAGTGCACCAGCTAGCTTGCAAATAACTGTAAGGCAGAGTGTTGTAAGAGTTTATAAAATAGTGCTTGCATGATTAATAATGATAAATAATGTTAGAGAATTCATTTCTTATGCTGTTTTCAGTGCTTCAATGTAGACTGTGTGAAAAAGATGTGACCTGAATTTAAAGTGTTTATGATTTGTTGGCTATGTTATGGTCATGAAGGTTTAGTTTCATTTTATACTGAAGACAGCATTACTATTAGAGTTGTATCATGAAAAATCCACTTTCAGCAGTSAAATAGACAGATACAACTGTTGTGTATTTATTCAGTTTTCTCTATTTTCTTCATTTTCAGAAGTATTACGTCAATTTTTTTGCGATTAAATAAGGTCTGGACTTGCCAACTACAAATTTGTCCCCTTAATTCTTGAATTCATTGAACGGCTCCTTACAGTGAACGATAGGAACTGCGTTGCGGGCAGAAAAGAGCCTCATAACATCTTTGTTTGCTTCCTAAACCACAGAGACAATCGCTCCGTCTTTGCTTTTTCACAGAAAACTGGYAGAGATGTGGAGAAGGCAGGTTAACAAAACACATGGTTCCATCCACGTGACACGTTGACTTCATCAGCGTACTTTGTGGCACATCTCCCTGTGTGGTGACGTAACTTGTTCAAAATCGAACAGCCCTTCTGAAAGGCTCTATGAAACCAACTGATTGTCTTGATCCGGATCCTTTCAAATAGCCATTTGTTCCGTCTCTACTAATGTTTTACCAGAGATTGTACCTATGCTCTCCAGTAACTATCCCTGGGTTAATAATGAAAATCATAAAAGATGCTTGACTTACCATTTAAATGTCTTAAACAATAAATAAAGCAATATGAATTACAGTGCAGGCATCGTATTAGAAAAACATAGGTACTGTAAAATGCTACTTATGTTTCCTGGTACAATGCCTTCATTGTAATTCAGTATATTTCTTCATTTGTATCACAAGACATTTGAAGGGGAAACCAAGCATCTTTCATGACGTTCCTTATTAACCTGGTGACAACACAGGTATGCTCCCTAAAATACAACTTTGATAACTGTACAACATGTTTGAGACTGGTTTTAAGATGGCAGCAATAAACTGTAGAATTGGTCCTGTTTAGACTAGCCGTTCCTTCATCTGAATCATATMATTTCCAAAAAACCAACTTGTGCAACAGGCCGACGGTTTAAATATGAATTGTTCATAACCTTTCCATGAAACTTCAGAAACTCCAAACTGGTGTTTTAGGAAAACATATGAATTTTGATGCAGGAAAATAATTACTGAAAGGTGAACCCTCTTAAGGAGTAAACATGACTCTTTTATGGCGATTCYAGTCTTTGTTTCCTGAATGATTTTGAAATTATTATCCTTGTCCACATATCCTGACCAAAGCATTGCCTGTCTCAATGTTTTGTCTTTTTTTTTTTTTTGCATTTATCTGAAATAGTAAGTCAGACAAATCACTTCAAGAGGGATGACAAACCAGTAACAGAGGAGGAAACGKAGCGCAGACGACGAATTAGCCCTGGACAGCCTTGTTTGGTCCTATGGAAGAAAAACTCGAGTAAATGCTTCGTGTGGCAATAGCTTTCTCTTCCATCCGTGCTGACATCATCGATAGCTTTATCCCTGTTAAAGTGGCTGAGAGTAGCTGAAACGACAGTGAAATTTAACAGAAAAAAAGTTTGTTTGAAATGTTAGAACAATCATGAAAACATATATATATATTTCCATCTTACAAAATAAGAGCAACACATTTAGTGAGTGACCCATTGATTTGTGTGAGCTATGCAGTTTCACATATTAAAACAAAAAATATTTTACCCAACCAGTTCCTTTCACGATAAACTTCATACCATCTCTAATTAAATATCCCCATTACAAAAATATACTTTCATTTGTTTTTCAGAAAATAATACACATAATTACTTTTTAGTGATATAATCATCTGTTTATGTAAATAGCAAGGCTGTCTAAAAGTAAATGTCACTGTGAGACAAACAGAGATGTGAAGCCTAGCACCATATTCTTCATTTTCCCAAAGCGTTCAAATAATATTTTTTTGGAGGGGGAAACCCATCCCACTGCCAGGACTCTTAAAATGTTGCATAATCTGGTTGAGCCTAAAACTCCCAACCCTAAAATCTCACCCTTTTCCTGAGGGCTGTGACTAGAAACGTTTTCATCTCCTTAAAGGAAAACCAAACCAAAACAGAAAAAAAGAAGAAAAAAAAGAAAACCCCACCAAAATCTTTTTAAACACCAGCCAACAAATCAGAATAAAAGGTAACAACGGTTTTACCAACACATCTTACAGTCCTCACTTTAGTACAAACGGAAACAAAAAATAAAACAATTCCCAACTGATGAAAAAAAAGGAACAATTCCCAAAACACTTTTGCTACGAAGAATTAGAAAAACATATGTACAAAACCCTGTATTCCTTTGACTCTCGGGTAAATTATCATAAGTGTTGGCTTGTGTTACGTGACTGTTTATACAGGCATACAAAAATGTCCTCTTTTGAATTTTCTTTTTTTTTTATTGTCGTTTCGTTTTAATAAAAGTTTTCACTGGAACAAAAAACAAAAAGTTCCCATCGCCCAGCTCAGGTGTGTCTATTCTTCCCCTGTTGTTTCCTCGTGCAAATTTAACAGCAGCTAGCTTCTCGGTGCCATCCGTCCGTCTGGCTCCGGTGTATTCAGGGTCCGAGCCCGCCCCGCGACGGGCACAGTTCCCATCCACAGTCCGCCCTGCCCGGTGTCGCCTTTGTCACCAGATGACGCTGGAGATGCTGGTCTCCCTGGGGAGCAGCGGCAGCATGGCGTTGTTGCCGTGGGCCTCCTCCATGCTCTGCTGGCGCGGCGACTTGGCCTGCTGCCGCTGCCCGTTGAGCAGCGTCATGGGGATGTTGCAGTAGGTGTGCTGGGTGCCCAGGGAGGAGAGGGGTGGCAGCGTGCCGCCGGGCGGCAGGTCGTAGTCGTAGCTACGGTAGTAGTGTTTCTGCCTCAGCTGGGTGTGGCAGGAGTTGTGGAAGGTGGAGCGCAGGTCCGGGTGCGCCGTGGCCATGGCGGTGGAGGTGGCCGCGGCCATGGAGATGGCGGAGACAGTCTGGAGCTCGCCGAAGGGGCCCTGCTCGCTGACGTCGAGCACCTGCTCGTGCGAGATGCTCAGGGGCTCCATGCGCTTGAAGGGCATCTCGTAGAGCAGCTGCTTCCAGAACTTGGAGCTGAGCTTGTTGCTGGACGGCCCGCGCCACTTGATGACCGTCAGCATTTTGATGGTGTGTTTGAGGGCCTCCACCTCCTGGTAGTTCATGATGCCGCGCAGCTCGGCGCACTCTATCAGGATGACTTTGATCTCGCCGGTCACCAGCATGTTGCGCAGCCGCGTCTCCAACTCAAAGATGCTCCACCCCCTCCGCACCACGTAGCTGGGCGTCATGACGATGATGAGGCGCTTGCTCTGGTCCACGCAGCGAGCTACGTCCTCGATGTAGGCTGGATTCATCGAGACAGAAGACAAAAAACACATTCGTATGAGAAATGGCAAATCAAAGCATTTTTTTTCCAATAGAGTTGAATCATTTCTGTTTCTTGTAATTCTATCTAGACAGTTTTAATCCCGCACTAAACCTTTAATCAAATAGTTGATGAAAATATGAGGAAACACAGGCTACAAAAACTCTCTTGGCCTCATAGCGACTTCTTATCTCACAACTCCCTTTTATCAAAATTTCAAACAAGTCCAATTGAATTTAGATGAGAAATGTGTATTTTTTTTTTACACTTTTTGTTGTCCCACCATCTGGCACAAAAACAAAACTAATGCACTACTCTGGTTCAGGCCAACAGCCACAATCCTCTGCAGCAGAAAAGTCATGACTCAAAGCCGAGCGGGACATCCGTGTGGTCTTAACATTCACTTCTAGCTGCAGACGAATTAAGAGTGAGTTCACCTCACGGCTGTGCTTCGGTCTCTAATGAGTGACTCAGCTTAATGCGTAGGATGTGATTGTGTTTCTCTAAGCCGGCAGCTAATGCCTGATTTCAGCCTTCCTTGGCCATGACAAAAAGATAGAGTCAAGCGGCAGGTAGATGGGATTAACCGGGCTTCCCTTCCCCAACCACGCTTTGTGAGCCTCTTGTGTTTGAGTAACGTTTCGAGGCGTCACCCGGTCTTTAAGCCAACTAATGCCAACGCTCCCTCTCCGGCCTGCTCTGCATGTGTCTGGAAAACTGACTGCTTCTTTCCTGTCACGCTTCGCCCGAGGCTGTAGGATGTGAGCGACCCGATTAAAAGAGGCTTGGATATAAAGTCGCCTTTTTAGTTCGACATGACAAGCTGGTCTTTTTGCTGTTTGGTAATTGGTCATCATGCTGTAATTTATTGAGACCCCAGGGCTAAAACTCCACTTGAAGGTTTCAGCCTGATCAGGGTGGGTTTTTCCTTTTTCAGTGTGTCGAGGACGAAATAGACCTGAATGCTTCATAAGATGTTAATGAGGAGGAATTTTATTTCATGTTTCATACTCAAATACGTTACGGCTTTATTGATTCAAAACCTTAGCAGCTACATAATCAAAGACCTTTAATACATTTAAAATAACCACATTACGCCTARATTAAATTATCTAGATTAGAAAAATCCCTGTCACATTTCTGTAGTTTCTAAAACTGATCTCACTTAAAAGCATCAGTTTTCAGTTGAAAGAAAACTATATTTTAGAAAATCAATATTGAAACTAGGATTTCTGTGAGGAATAAATAACCTGCTGTTGTGGGGAACAAAGGAGTGTCTGAGGAACCATCAGGGGAACAGAGGAACCTCACAAACACAAAAAACAAACATTGATTTTGAGCAATTAGGGGTTACAATTATACATAAATGTTTAATTTAAAAACAAAACTTAAACTCTTCTCCCTACTAATTAAGGAAAACTAGCCTAAAACCAAGGTTCCACAATGTAAGATTTTGTGCATACTATTTCTTAAATTTAAATTTTAGGAGAGGACAAGCGTCCATAAGCTGAGTAGTGACTTTTCTCAGTAAGTAATATCAACTGCAAAATAACAAACAACTAAAGTAGATCTATGTGCAGAAGGTGATTGCTGTATTTGTTAAATAGCAACATAACAAATGTCCTAAAATTCTGGCTTTTGGTTTTGTTCCCACCCCAGTATTTTCAGTAGCCCCCACATGGTCACCCCATTAAAAAATTCTAGATGCACCACTGTGGAAGATGACAAGTTAGCAAGAACCAAGTGTTATTATCTAAGAGCATCCAGTCCCATGACTCAAATAAGGTGGTTTCAGAATCAAGTCCTGGRCAAAATGCTTGAAGTGCCCATTAAAAGTGAAAGAAAAGTGACAAATTCATGCAAAACATTTATGGCATAAAGTTTTAAAATTGTGCTGCCAAACGGCATTCGAAAGCAAAAACAAAGTGCGAAAGCCAAAGTGTGGAGCCATTTTATTGTTTTGTTTGTAAAAGTTTATTTTCAACTAAACCAGTTATGAAWTTACTGAATGAAAATATACCTGGGGGTCTGGGTGGGGGGAAAACAAACTAAAGGTTGGTGAATACTGTAGATACTTCAGGGGCGGGGGGCTGCCCCCCCATATAGTTTTTCATATATACATTTGGCAGCACGATGTCTCAGTGGTTAGCACCAACACCTCACAGCAAGAAGGTCCTGGATTCGATCCCCGGTTCGGACTTGGGGTCTTTCTGTGTGGAGCTTGCATGTTCTCCTCGTGCTTGCGTGGGTTTTCTCCGGGTGCTCAGGTTTCCCCCACCCCCCTAAAACATGTACAATAGGTTGCCTTCAGGCCCAGGCCTCCCTTGAAAAAGAGATCTGAGATCTCAACAGGACTTGCCTGGTTAAATAACGGTGAATAAAAATGAATTATAACTAAAATAATATAACTAAAACCTGTCTTGGTTTCTTAGAACAGAAAAAGGATACATAATATTTTCAAAGTGTTTTTGGGGATGTTTTGTTGACTCCATTTAGACATAGGAAATTTCTTACATACAGTACTTCGGTGAAGTGATCCAGCATTGCCATCCTGTCTAGAGCTTTTGCCCCCCCACCATGGAAAATTTTCTAGATCCGCCAATGATGTACTTCTCTTAAAAGACATAAAAGCAGAGGGTCTGAATTTGAGATCAATTTTGGTGTATTTAGTCACTGTAATTAAGTTTGTGAGAAAGAACACTATCTACCTTTAAGACCCTTTCACTAATTACCTTGAAATACTTGAATTAATCCATTTTTAAAATCATATTCACAGGTATTCAGGAAGGTGATGGAACAGTTATGTATTTGTCACCTAAGATTTTAGAAGATTTTGCTTTTATGGGTGACAAAAAAAAGGATGGTTTTTTTTGTTTCTCTCGGAGGAGGAAGACACTTTTTCTTTCTCTACTGCCCTTCCTTATCTTCCTGCTTTGCTGCTTGGAGCCTTCTCTACGTTTTCATCCAAAACCAGAAATTATGGATATTTTTTTATGGATTTGGTTAGCTGGTCTCTTAATAAAWTTTTGGAACAAAGTTTTTTCTTCCATGGGAGGACATGTCAAAGGTGGGACCTCTGTTCTTCTCTGTTCTGGATATGTATCTGGATTCCGATCACTGGATTCTACAGATTGGCTCGGTGGTCTCCTGGTGTTTGTACAAAACAGCTTCGGTGGCTATTCAGGCCATTTCCTGGTTTCCTGACCAATATGAAGGATTGCCGTTCTATCAGCACTCAGAATTTTGCCTTGAGTGACCTGGACTTGGTCTGTAAGCGGTTCTGCTGAGGGTCGGGGGCTGACTGTGGTTCCTGGACTTTGCTGGACAGATGGAATTGATCTTGGAGAAGCTGATAGCAYGGCTCGGTGGAATTTGTCCACACTATTTGTCTGACTGGATTCGCCACAATGAGTTGTACCAGCGGACATGAAGGCAGATGGAAAATTGTTATTGTCTGCCTGACTCTTCTGTTCCCAAAACAACTGATTACAGATTCGGCTCTCTCCTACAATGGCCTTGAAGAGCTGTTGGACTAAATTCTTCCTGGATGCTTACGTCGACTGAGGCTCTGCCCCACACCTCCCCCACTCTCACACCCGTCTGTGATCTGGCTCCTGGAGCAAGCTGAAGGCTGCACAGAATGAACAGATAATATCCATATTCTGGACTATGGCTGCGCTGGTTTTGGGGACTGGATTCTTCGGGCTCATTCTTCAGATATTCACACAAGTGCATACAACACTCATGGCTTCAGATATGCGCCCCCTAAACTCACTTACTCCTCTGGCTAATAAATCTACTCTATGCAGAGGTTTTTTTTTATTAACACTAGGGCTGTGCGGTATATGCAGTAGACGGTAGAAACGGTATGAAGTTGGCCTACGGTAGAAATTTATACTCTACCGTCCTATCGTCATTACATCATCTCACCTGTGTCAGCATGGCTGCGAGTGCAGAGACAACTGAGCAGAAGTTCGAAATATAATGAAGAAATTCTAGCGTTTTAAAACACATATAGAAAGGATAAATCCTCAAAATATCCCCTTCCCRCTGTAGAAAAATTACGTCGTGTCGCAGGATCATAATCTCTTCTTTCCTCTCCTCCCCTCTCCTCTCCTCTCGCTGCACGTCGAGCAGAGCGCTTTAACAACTGTAGTTTTTCCACACCCAATTGTTGGAGAAAAAAACTTGTTTTTTAAAGTATTGTTATTCACAGAGATGATTAAAAAAAGACGTGGACGTTCGTTCAGCCCTAAATCCATCTTGCTAATGTAAAGTCGGCTTCTGCTCTGACGATGACGATGAAGATGAGCGCGCAGCAGAGCAGCAGCTGATAAGTTAAGCAGGCAGAAGCTCATTGTTTGGCGGCAGATATTAAAGCAAAAATGTTGGGTTTGATTAAGATTACAGTTTTCTGCTAAAAAAATGCTCTAAAAATTACATTATCTTTACTTTTTATGATAATTTTATACCGCGATATATACCGTTACTGTGAAGGGTACAGTTTATATCGTGATATGGATTTGAGGTCATACCGTCCAGTCCTAATTAACACCATAGTGTGTCACAGTGTTGATAAGATGTTTTTGTTTTTCTTCCCCTCATCTTCCCTTGTGTGGTTTTTAGTTTTTCTGTTAAGGGTTGTGCCTCCTCATGATGTCTTCATGAAGATGATCCTTGCTCTGTGCAGGGTCTGTGGCAGCATGACCCAGAACACCTGTTCTATGTTCGTTCTGTTCTGTCTTCTTCTGAATGGGTGTTCTGAACTGTAATTTCATTGTGCTCTGTACAATGACAATAAAGATATATCCAATCCAATCTAATCTAATCTAATCTAATCTAATCTAATCTAATCTAATCTAATCTAATCTAATCTAATCTAATCTAATCNCCGTTACTGTGAAGGGTACAGTTTATACCGTGATATGAATTTGAGGTCATACCGTCCAGCCCTAATTAACACCATAGTGTGTCACAGTGTTGATATGATGTTTTTGTTTTTTTTTTTTCCCTCATCTGTCCTTGTGTGGTTTTTAGTTTTTCTGTTAAGGGTTGTGCCTCCTCATGATGTCTTCATGAAGATGATCTTTGCTCTGTGCAGGGTCTGTGGCAGCATGACCCAGAGCACCTGTTCTATGTTTGTTATGTTCTGTCTTCTTCTGAATGGGTGTTCTTAACTGTAATTTCATTGTGCTCTGTACAATGTCAATAAAGATATATCCAATCCAATCTAATCTAATCTAATCTAATCTAATCTAATCTAATCTAATCTAATCTAATCTAATCTAATCTAATCTAATCTAATCTAATCTAATCTTTACAACAGCAAACTTTTTCCTCAGAATATTAGACTTGATGCTTGGTGTTTTTTACTTAGAACAACTTTTGAGTTCTACAGTGGTTTGCAAAAGTATTCATACCCCTTGAACTTTTCCATATTTTGTCACATTACAACCACAAACATAAATATAATCTAATCTAATCTAATCTAATCTAATCTAATCTAATCTAATCTAATCTAATCTAATCTAATCTAATCTAATCTAATCTAACCTTTACAACAGCAAACTTTTTCCTCAGAATATTAGACTTGATGCTTGGTGTTTTTTACTTAGAACAACTTTTGAGTTCTATTTGGGAAAGAAAAGGTTTGTTATCGTTCCCTTGAACCTAAGACAATGCAAGCTATGTGGAAAATAGTTGTTATAAAATAGTCTCATTCTCTGACTTACATGGTTTTTGTGCTGCCCTCACAGTTGTCAACATTGATGATAAAACCTCTCCTCTGTACATAAAAGAAATTTAGAGTGAATTCAAGAGCTCTGTGTAAAAAGTTATGCTGAAATCAGGAGTGTCTCAGAAGTTCACCTCTGATGAAGACAAGTGCCACCACAACTCRGTGAAACACAAACTTCCAAGTCTGCATGCATAGAAGAATCTTTTGAGTCAGAATCATCACACCAGGTTGTCAGAGTAGTGACGCAGAGCAAAGTAAAGGCCTTAAAAACGTCAGCTGAAGGCAGGTCTTTCTCACAGGGAGGAAAACACTTTACTTGAAGTCTCTGATATTTCTGTTGATAGACTGCTCTCAGAACTCAATCACCTCTGAACCCCGCCCCTCCCCAAGCCCCCTTTTCTCTTCATATCCCAACAACTTAAATAAGCTGTGGTTGATCCACGCAATGCAAAACTTATTCAAGCAGACTGTAAGTTGCATTGAAGAATGAACTGGGAACATTTTCTAATGTTTCCGTAGCACTCAGGCTTTTCTCACATTTCCTGTATCCGACTGCAAGGAAGTGACCATGTTTTCACAAGTGAAACCCTTTCAAAAGTGAACTCAGAACCACCATTGGTCAGAAAAAAATTTATAGCACTCTTGATGGCTACTGAGTCTGACACTGTCAGAGCTGGAGTTTGAGAGCTTGATGACAGTCTTTGGAAACTAAGTGAAGGAAGAAGAACTTTTAAAAGGTAGAAGCGTTATACTTCTTCACATGAAGACATATTTGGTGCTGCGTGATGTGCCATGGCGTGTGGCATGCGTGTTAAGTTKAATAAGTCTTAGGTATTTTGCAGATTGTTAGAGCTGTCGCCTCATTGCAAGAAGGTCGCAGATTCACCACCCATCCCCTCTGTGTGGAGTTTACTTGTTCTTCCTGTGCACATGTGTGTTTTCTCCAGGTACACTGGCTTCCTCCCACAGACTAAAAACATGCATGTTAGATTAAGTGGTAACTAAATTGTCCGTAGGTGTGGGTGGGAGTGTGAATGATTGTCTCTATGTGTCTTTAGACCTTTCCTGGGTGTACCCTGCCTCTCACAATGACTGTTGGAGATAGGCACTGTCTGCCCTGTGACCTGGAAAGGAAAAGCGGGTAAAGAAATGGATGGATGGAGAGATTATAATTAACCAAACTGGTCATTTTGGGGATTATCATCTGCTAGACTGGCATGGTGCATGCCTGCATTAAGGACAGAGGCCTCTGAGCAAAATTACCCAGGGGACCACGAGGTTTTAAATCCTGCCCTGCCAGCCTGTTGAAACCAGAAACAAACCATCCACACCTTCCTCCTATCCAAGTGTGAAGCAACACGAGTTGAAGGCAACCTGCTAATGTTATGCCTCTGAGCCACTAAGTGAAGCAGTAACAGAGCCATAAAGAGCAATGCACCTAATGATAACACAGCATTGTGGATCCTTACCAGGATGGGAGGTGTCAAACACTTTTTATGAGTTTTTTGTTTATCACAACTCATTTTGTTCTGTGATGGTGACATCACTTATGAAAAAAAGGTAAAATCATTTTATAATGCAGTTGGCTTGACTGGTCAAAGGCATCCTAATAAGAATCTTGTCCTTAAGGCCATATTGTGGATCTGTTTTGCAAAAAATTGGAATAAGAAAGACATGATTCTTGACCTGATATATGTGGTTTTCTTATTTTTAAAATGAAATTGTGTGAATCTTTTATGAACAGAGCCTTGCACATACGTATTGGACAGTATCCCATTTTTGGGGGTAATCTAATATTTTTTCTGACATCCAAGCTAAAAGATATTGAGACCAGAAACTATACAATTAAGTGAACACTACAGTGGCATTTTACAGTGCCTCCCTTTTTTCATTGATAGATGATTTTCTGTAGCTTCACTTGTTTCGTTAGTAATTTACAACGGTTGATGTGAAACATTTGAAGCAAATATGTCTCAGCATAAAAACCTAAAAAAATATATAAAAAACTGTTATGTTCAGTGTAAAGTTTGGGTTGATTTAGGTGCTAAAACACTTCTACAAGCTGATCTTGGTCTAATGACATGATATTTATGGTGTCTTTTTTTTCAACCTTTTCTGGAAAAGCTGCAAGGTATTTCCAGACCAGCTGAGAGACAGTCTTTCCCAGGSTCTCCCAGCTGGACATAAACCAAAAACCTCCCTAGGGAGGTGTCCAGGGGACATCCTTAYCAGAAACCTGAATTCCTTTAACTGCCCCCTCTTGATGTTGAGGAGCAGCCACTCTAGTTCAAGTCTCTCCTGGATAACTGAACCCCTATATCTCTAAAGGACAACTGAGCAATCCATTTCTACCATCTTCAACAATTTTGTTGTTTGGATCACCACCCAGAGTTCGTGACTAAAGGTGAGGGTAGGAACTTTTACTGACTGGTAAACAGGGAGCTTCACTTTGCAGCTCAGCTCCCCCTTCACCACAATGGACCGGAACAGAGAACGCAATACTACGACTCCCTTTGTCCATCTCATTACCCCTTTTTCCCTCACTCCTAAACAAAACTCTGTCTTCGTGACCCGACTCTAGAACAAGCAGAAGATCAGCCTAACCTAAATATGGATGGATGGATTCTTATTTTCCAAATCACTACAACTTAGTTAGGACATGTGAAAACATTTTAAAACATTTCTAAACATTTCTGACTGAATATACTTCTTAATTTCTCAAGATGCTTCACAAGAAACAAGTAGAAATTTTTAATAAATATTCAATTTAAAGGTCCTGTTAATCTTTAATCCTGGATCAGTTGTTAGTAACTGATAATAAAACCCTTAGATGTTACAAAGCTCAGTCTTACACAAGGCAGTTTGATCAAAAAGTAAAAAAAATCTGGAAAAGAAGTACCTCTAAGAAGTCTTGTATCATCCTGGAAATGATCATTGGTGAAACCTAAACATAAATATATTACAGTGGAATCAAAAACTATATTTCAGCATTTGGCGGGATTAAAAACATCTCAGCGTGGGGACGATCCTCTGGGATAAACTTTGTTTGACGCTCTGCTGGTAGCACAATAACCACACTGACCAGTTTATTCCAGGTTAATATGGGACATAAAGCATAAAAAGGCACAGGAAAGGAGTTTACATTAGCAATTGGGTCAGGACTTGCTATTGCTCCCAGGAATGCTGAATAGATCAATATGTTAAAATTGCACCAGAGTAGATAAATGTTAAAATATTCCATCATRTTGAGGAATAACAACCAAACAGCAACTCAGGAGAAGGGTTGCTGAACAGCCAAACTGTTTATCCATWGCCGAGGATTATACTATATTATGTCAACTGTAGAGATGCTAATACAATCCCAATGGGAGCTGAATGTTTATACACAGTAAGCAGTGCCACAGAGTTGAAATCGTGGCAGATAGACTTGAATTTCCTCTCCATCTTTGCATTTTTATGCCATTTTTTCCCATATTACAGCAGTCCCCCCTGTTATGCGAGCACGATATCATAGAGGAAGAAAAAAAAAAAGATTCAGTTTATAACCTTGGCATGACGCCACTGAAGGGGAACATAATTAGTAGCGGTGGTATGTGCGGGAAAGACGAGCAGATGCAAGAATTCAAATGGAGGCTAATAGCATAATGATATCATCAAACTCATCTGTGTGTTGAGTTAATCAAAGATGAGCACGGGGGCCATGGTGAGAGGCTCCATTAGAGATATACTGTGGTAAAACATGCATTAGTATCCATGCAGAAAGATTTCTGATTGTGCAGCTGACACAGTTACACAGCGGCATGCAGGAGCTCGGTTTGTGTGGATCAGAAACACGGGCTCTAATCACATGGGTGGCTGTTCCTGCTAATTACGCTGCATATTTAATACATGTTATTTTGCATCCTCCAGGCTTTAAATAGTGCAGGTCATGCAGTTTTTATATTTCAATGCATTCTAATGCATCTTTAATGTCGGGTGCAGCATATAGAGCTTTATCCTTAGGTTTATTTTTTGGTTGCTTTAAGGATGAAGTCGAGGTATAAAGCTGCTAAAAATGGACGCACCTCTAAATATACCACATTGTACTTGAACAGAGCTGCGTGCTTTACAGCTGAGGTGCAGTTTGTGAGATTGAAAAGAAAGTAGATGTCTTTGTGTATGTAGTTGCATGTCAGTTAAATCTATTTTAAAACACCTGGAAGAAAACGAGGATATTCTGAGAATCCAAGTACTGTAAGAGAGGTGAGTAGCTCTGCTTTGAAGCTATATGCTGCAYGGGTAATATTTTAGGAGAGTTTTAGATCTTTTTATTGCTATTTTTAGCCTACAAAACAAATCAAACCTTTCTTAACTTCTCTTAAACAACATTTCAATGTATTAATATAAATTATATTTTGAAACAATTATTAAAAACAGATTTGATTTCATGATAATGGTTTAAAACATTATATTAATTTTTACAATTTTTAATTTCTTTTATCTTCCCTCCAGCTTTCTGAAGCTCCCCTGGCAGCCCCACACTTTGAAAAACAAGTTCTCATGTTACACAATAGTCATGGACTAATCTTCAGACCGCACTAAAATCTTTAAACTTTTGTCTCTTTAGAAGAGTACAGCTTCGACAAAGGCTGTGTCTCAATTCATGGGTTGCATGTGACGTCAACCGCTTACGTCACTACCCCGGCTGTTCCAATTCGTCTGCGCCTACACATGCAGCCGACAAAACCCCRAAAATGTCGGCTGCATTTGAGTATCCTACATGGCCGACGGTATGTATCCCAGAATTCATTGCGCCCTCAGCAAATTAAACAGAATAACAGAGATGGTGAAGATTTTGTTTTTATTTTACAGCAGATTTTTTGTCTCTTTTTAGTGACGGRSTTYGGAAATTTATCACGGACCGAAAAATGTAAATTAAACAACTTGGCTGAAGAAACTATTGTTGCAATGAGATGTTAAATAAAATGCAGTTAAAAGTACTGATACTGGAGCTAAACCCAAATTATTAATGCTTTTTATTTATTTACTTGTATCGTTTTTCTATTACAACAGAAATTTGTGAAGTTATACCTTGAAAAAACAACTGAAGCCATGTGATATAAAGTGTGCACCATGGTAACTGGGCAGCGCGTGGTCACGTAAACATACGTCTTCTGTAGGGTAGACTGTCTCATTTCACAGCATTTTATGCAGCCAACCTACAGTCTGTCGGCTGTTATCCATAAACTGAGACACAGCCACTGTCTTCTGTAACTTTCAGCCATTCTTCAGCTTGGTATTTGATTTATGTTAATTCTGTTTTATTTTGTTTATGTACAGTATTTTGATAACTTTATAATGTTGGTGTCCTTTGAGAAAAATATTAATCTCAAAGGACTTCCTAGTTAAATAAAAGTTAAAAAACTACAGTCCAACTTGTATCTGCCTATGATCTTTAGCTGTCCACCAACCTAACTTTAAAACCATTATATTGGTGATACAATTTTGATTGATTGATATGAAGTTTTTGAGACTAAATATGTCAACAATCCAGTTTGTTCTTGGCTTTATTCAAACTAGTTATTATTTTTATCAGCAAGCTTAGTTTATATAGAAAAAAGCTATCAACAACAGGTATGATATTAAATGCACAAAATCTCACTTCAAAAAAAACAATGTAAGTTTTCCTTCGAAAGACATAAATTAAACACTTTCCCCTAAATATACAAAATCTTAAAATTCCCACACGAGTGCACTTCCTGCAGCTAATGAGAAAGCTTTCATTTAAACCAAATGTTTCAGTGTGCGGAGCGTTCTTTAAACAGGAGGATTATGTACCAGAGACTTAACTGGTTTCCAAACGGGATGCAAGAGGCAGGATTATTTGAGATTGAGAGCAGACAGAGGTTTATTCCACTGTTTTCACTGGCATCAGAAAGTAAAAAAAAACAAACACCAGAGCCGACATGAATTCTCTTTATTTCATAGTTTCCCCTGTATTTTCTTCATTTTTCCTCCTCCCTCCAGCATCCCAGCATCTCTGGAAGCACGAGACACAGCTTGGGTTTGTGTGATGTAACTAAAAGCCCAGCAGCTGATCCTTTGCTCTTGTTTTTCTTCTGAAAAGTGATGGTAAAATTCATAGAACAGCACAGAGAAGTACTGACACACTGGCTCCATTCCCTGCAGGCCTCAAATTAATTTCCGATTGTTCATATTTCTCTTAATCCCTAACCTTTTCTGCTTTATTTTTCCCTGACAGCTGTCCAGCTCATAATTAAAAAGCTGTGGTTTTTTGTGTACATGTGGGACTTTTATACCACTTTAAACTAAAAAGTCTGGTCTGACAGTTAAACTCTTTGATTGATGCTACATCTCTGACCTGTTTTGTAAGATAAACCCCCCCACCCAAAAAAGGTACTTTAAATACAGATTTGACACTAATATTTCTGTGTGATGTCACAGTGTGCTTTGAGGAAATCTGCGAAAAGTTGACAATATCTTTTTATGTAATTTTTTACACCCTAAATATTATTTTCTAACCTGAGTACTGAGAAAATAATGGCCAGAAACCACTGCCTGGAAGGAGAAAATATTCTTTCAGCTCAGTTCAGTAACTTCAAAAAAGTAAAGTGCAGAAACTACCACTGTTAAAAAAAATCAAGTTATGCAGCTTGTTTTAGAAATGTGCTGGGTTGTAATGATTGATTGAATGATTTTATTTGTTCAGGATAGTGTGCAATTAAAACATAATTTGATGCATTGCACCAGATTTAGTCTRAGGCTAATTTACATCTGTAGCCCCAATGACATTTTTACATAAAACTTGTGTTAATTAAACTTAACACCTGTTCATATCTTCCTTTTTTGTGTTTTGAATCCTAAAAGTTTTAGAAACCAGATGTTATTTTCCTAATTATTTTGTTTTTACAGCTACAACTTGAATAAGATTTATTGCTTTTGATAATCAACAAATAATCTCTCCACATAATGATGGATTAATGTCAGGCAACACTTTCAGCATCACGTTTTGGGCAAAAACATTTACGTTTTACTGTGTTTTCTTTTTTCAGGTTTGCACGTTTAGAACTCAAAACTTCTTTTAAACTATTCCAATTGAAATAAATAAACATTTATTTATACGTGTCTAAATTTATAATACTTATAAGCTATGCTGACATATCTTTGTGCTAACAGTAGTAATCTGATTGACAGGTCAAGACATGGGCTGGTTTCCAGGTGTTAAAACATCCAATAATACAGGTGCTGGTCATAAAATTAGAATATCATGAAAAAGTAGATTTATTTCAGTAATTCCATTTAAAAAGTGAAACTTGTATATTATATTCATACATTACATACAAACTCATATATTTCAAATGTTTAT